CAACCAAAGTTTCGTTTATTAAAAAATTAATAAACTCAATTCACTCTGCACTTGAGTTGCTATAATCATTTGGGCCAACATCTATCATTTGTCTTTGATAATTGTCATATAGTAATTGGCACTTATAGTTGAAGCTTCTAGTCTTCAAACCTTAATGATGAATCTAATGCATCTTAACAGAGAAGTAAAATACTCCCAGCCGCAAATAACTTAACTATACAAAAGATTTTGAAGCCATATTTAGGGTTCCCTTTTATAAGGCCTTCTAAACCCATGAACCTTTTATCTCCCAACCAGATAGCCACTTGTAAGGGCAGTCAAGCTGTTTTTGTTGCCCCTAATCATACACAATAATTTACAGATAAAGAACACCTGGTGCCAATGTTATAAAAAACTCCTCAACTTCCACAAGCCAAGCATTCTTCGCGGTTTGTTAGAGAGCAAACCATCTGTGCCATGTTGGTATCAATATCCTCATCTGCCTTCTTAGCAGTATCCTGCATTCCACCCAACAAATTTGTTTCAGTAAAGCACACAACAGATTTCTATACCATATCCATACATCACACTTTAACAACATTACCTTAAGCATAGAAGTATCAACAGTGAATTTGATGGCATCAGCTGCAGCACGGGACCGCAGATAATACATTCCAGTTTTCAAGCCCTTTCATTGCCAAGAACATGAAAAGAATCAGAAAAGACCATGCATGCTACCATTTTAAGAACAAAGCACTGGATTGATACAGCAAATAAAGCAACAAATTTAGCTTGTTATTGGATATAACATAATCTATCATCTATACAAAAACACAAAAACATCACATCTGCTTCTCACCAGAAGACAGGAACTTTTAAATTGTAATCCAACACTACCACTTTGGAGATAAACTCAACATTGGTTAGATCAACAAACATATTTACGTATAAGCATCACAGAACAAAGAGAACGGAAGCCAGAGCACAAGCACCATAAATAAAGCATCTTTCTTGCATCCATTAAATCTTACTCCATGATGGAGATTTATCTTATTGGAACATTCAGCAAAGAATATACCTTCGACCAAGCATAGAAGTGCAAGGAAGTTAATTTGCCAAAATTGGGTTGATCCATATGTATATTCAAGCTCTGACTCTGATCTATATAGCATCCACGATCAACAGCCATGTCAACCAAAGTCTTCTGCTTGATCTCCCAAACAGTCCTGATTGTAAATTTAAGAAAATAAGGTCTCAACGTGATATATACATAAGAGTAGCAAAGACTGAAAAGAAAGAAAATCCTACCTGTATATTACTTTCAACTCATCAGGGATTTCCGGAATATTCTGGATAGAGCCATTCTCATATATGATCTTGTTCTTGACAGCAGGAGACCAAAAGCCCATCTCAGTTAAGTCATGGAGAAGATGTTTGTTCACCACTACAAATTCACCACTGCAAAAGGGAAAGAGTTATAGAGGCCAATATTACAACTTTAAAGAACCGTACATTGTAGGATAATATGGACAAACCTTAGAACTCTGCGACTGTAGATATTGGAAGTATACGGCTCAAAACATTCATTATTTCCAAGAATTTGGCTGGTCGAGGCAGTTGGCATTGGTGCTACAAGAAGAGAATTTCTCACCCCATGGTTTGATATCATGTCCCTAAGAGTACTCCAATTCCATCGATTTGATGAAGTAACACCCCACATGTCAGGCTGAAGAATTCCCTGTATAACAATAGCCAAAGGAGCTGTTAGCAACAGAGTAACTCTAATTATCTTCATAGATGCTCAAGTGTTGTTAGCTTCCATGCCCTGCTAAGTTGTAAGAATGGAATCTGAAAACACAATTTATACAAATACAATACTTGCCATATTTTAAATGGAACTCCAACCATCAGTTCATACCTTGCTCACAGGACTCCCATGGTATGTTTCATAAGGTCCATCTTTTGCAGCTATCTCAGTAGAAGCCTTCAGAGCATGATAATATATAGTCTCAAATATGTCTTTGTTCAGCTGCTGCGCCTGATAATTACATAAACCTAACTCTCAGATACAAGTCAAAAGTTTAAATGAACCTTCTAGGGGTTAATTTTACCTCCAAAGAGTCAAAAGGCATGCCAAGTAAGATGAATGTATCTGCAAGACCCTGAACCCCAATACCAATGGGTCTATGCCGAAAATTTGATCTTTTTGCATTTTCAACGGGGTAATAATTAACATCAATTATCTTATTAAGATTGGCAGTAACAATTGCTGTGACCTGCCCAACCACAAAGATAACATAACACATTACAATTTGCAATCAAAAGTTACTCTCCAATTAATCAAGACTCAATATAAATAACATTGTGAGCAAAAGCTCAAGATAACTAGCACAAGTCAAACCTCTGCTATTTGTCAAAGTCAAAATATCGATCTTGGAGCCTTACTGCCAACAAGTTTAGATGGATGAGACTCAAGTGGAACCCCCTGGTGGGACAACGTACAATTGCTTAATCATGAGTAGAAAATAAATATAAACAAATAACTTGCCGTGCAATATATACGTTGCCCACTTTCTCTCTAACAAATCTAGGTAAAGCAATAGATGCCAGATTGCAAACAGCAGTTTCAGTTGGACTAGTATACTCAATTATCTCAGTGCACAAGTTTGAAGATTTAATAGTACCCAGATTCTGCTGGTTGCTTTTTCTATTGCAAGTATCCTGAAAGGAAGATACAACAAAAGGGGCAGAATTGAATCATATTCCTAATTCATGATTACTGACAGAAAACAAGATCAATATTCACATAAATCACCTTGAAAAGCATATAAGGGGTCCCAGTTTCAATTTGAGATTTCAGAATTTCAAACCAAAGGTTCTGTGCCTGGACAACCTTCTTTGCCTTACCCTGAATGCAGAATGGCATCTGTAAGATTTCCTATATGGAAAACTTTGTATAATAAACAAGGCCAAGAAGATAGAACCAAACTCACCTGTCTCTCATATTGTATGTAAAGCTTCTCAAATTCAGCACCCCAACAGTCTGCCAGCCCTGGAGCTTCATTAGGACAAAATAGCGACCATGACTCATTGCTCTGAACTCTTTCCATAAAAAGATCAGGTACCCAAAGAGCATAAAATAGATCACGAGCCCTGTGCTCTTCCTGCAATGGTTAAAAGATATTGTAAGCTATTGACATCCATTGGTGCATATATTTATGCAGTCCAATAAATTTTGGAGGTAAGCTATATCACTTCTTTTTGTAAGAATAAGTTGAAGGCACTTAATAACTCATAAACGTATACTTTTTTCAGCATATATATTACTTGGATCCAATTAGAATATCTCACCTTCCCATGGTTTTTCCGAAGGTCCAGAAACTCAAAAATGTCAGCATGCCATGGCTCCAAATACACAGCAAAAGCACCTTCATATATCACAGATAATATTTTAATACGAAACCAGACAGCACTAGACATTAAGTAAACTAGGTAAAATAAACATACCCTTCCTCTTGCCTCCTCCTTGATCAACATAACGTGCAGTATCATTGAATACCCGCAGCATTGGAACAATACCATTAGAAGTACCATTTGTCCCACGAATATAGCTCCCTGTTGCACGGATGTTGTGAACTGAGACACCAATCCCTCCAGCTGATTTGCTGATAACAGCACACTCCTTCAAAGTATCATATATGCCCTCAATGCTATCATCTTTCATGCATATCAAGAAGCAACTGCTCAACTGCAATACACAAGTAAACTACTTTCAGTAATAAGTAAACAATAGACCCCTATCCATAATAAATATGGACAGTATCAAGATTTAAAAATAAAACTTTTGGAAAATGAGAACACATGTATATGGAGAGAACATACTTGAGGCCTTGGTGTGCCAGCATTGAACAGGGTAGGAGAAGCATGAGTGAACCATCGTTGAGACATCATATGGTACGTTTTAATAACAGATTCAATATCATTCTTGTGAATTCCAACAGCGACTCTCATCAGCATGTGCTGTGGCCTTTCAACAACCTTCCCTTGAACCTTTAAGAGGTAGGACCTCTCAAGGGTTTTGAATCCAAAATAATCATAGTCAAAATCCCGATCATAAATGATCTCACTGTCTAAACGAGCTGCATTCTGAAAAGAAAAATTGACCAAAATGTAAATCACAATTTCAACCAATTAGAAAAATGGATATTATATCACAATTCAGAAGCAGGGAACAAAAATGGTGAGGTAACCATATGTTGATTTTCTTCTATTATTAGAGTCATTTAAATGCTCCATTTTGTGATTGTGTGCAAAAGGGAGCAACACAATTGATCATTTGGAAATATCAGGTCATTACATCATGGAAAAACCAAGCAATCAAGCATGAGCAATTGGAGCCTTTACAACTATGAAAATTTCCAACCAGACAAAAAGCTCAATAAAGCAAAATTTGAAATTGAGGTTAGAACTTCAAACATACACTTTACCTTCATGATTATCTCGTAAACATCATCGGCAATTAGAGGAGCTTTTTGTCCAGATCTCTCGTTGAAATGATTATACATGTCTTTTATCCTACAAGACGAAGAAAACTCAAGTATCTAAGATTCCAGCAATTATTTCAAACAGGAATCCAACGTCCAACATTGTGGAAGTCACTTACGTTTCAGAAAATGACTTCTTAGTGTTTTTGTGCAGATTAGAAACAACAATCCTCGCTGCCAGCTGCAACAAGAAACTCACAAGAGCAAACTAGATCAGTCAATTTTTATTTAATCAACAAAAATTTCTCAATACAACGAGCTTAAGGAAATAAAAGCATAGACTCCAAACGAAATAATCAAAATTTCCTAGAATCTAAAAAACAAAAATCCATATTTCAAAATTAAAATATCCGACAAAACGGTCTAAAAAGAACAAAACACATAAACAAAATCAAACGCCAGGAAAAATAAAAAATAAAGTCCGCGGGAGGAAAACAGGGAGAAAAAACAAAAGAACTCACAGAGGCATAATCAGGGTGATTAGCGGTCATAGCAGCAGCAGTCTCGGCGGCCAATTCATCGAGTTGACTAGTAGTAACTCCCTTATAAACCCCAGCACAAACCTTCTGAGCCACAAGCACCGGATCACAGTGTTCGCTGCTCAGACCATAGCTCAGTTTCTTCAGCCTGGCAGTAATCTTGTCGAAGTGCACCGCTTCTTGTCTCCCATCTCTTTTGACGACATACATTTTGGCAATTAAAATCCGGCGCAGAAGTTTAGATTCTGCTAGGAATTTCGTCGAGCAGGTTGTAGATAAGAGCGATAGATAGAGAAATGGAGGCGGGGACTTTGAATTCTGGGGGTTCTAGGGTTTGTTCATTTGTCGTTTTATAGTGTCCTGTAATTAATTATGCGGGAAGATGCTTTTAGACTATTTTGAAAACTTCCCGCCAAATCGGGGAAGGAAGCGTCCGCGACACAAGAAGATGTCTGAGTGGAGAATGGCGGGTAAATTTGAATTGGAAACTTTGAAGGGGTTGGTGGTGGGGTCCGCCCCGCATTAATCGCTTTAATTGTAGATGACCTTTTTAAGTGACTTAGATAATTAATTATTAAAAATAAATTGATTATAATTTATTTTATTTATTAATTTAAATTTAAATAAACTTTTATTTTTAATTATTATATAATTAATAAAAAAATTTATTTAAATATAAATTTAGTTAGAGGTAGTTTAAATTATTAATTTTTAAGTAGGTGAAGTTAATAAAAAATTAAATTTTTTTGTTTTACCTAAATATAAATTTAATTGTTGTATTGTATTACTTTATTTAAATAACATTTTTATTTTTTTTATTTGAATAGAACATGAAGTTTTAAATTTGTTTCAATTCCACCCCTTTGGTCAAATGGCATTGGACACCCTTTATTTTTATCATGTGGCTTAATTTTTTATTAATAAAATATTTATATAGATATTAATAAATGTTAATGTTATGTGACATGTAATACATGATAACAATTATATGATTTACTTTTTTTAATTAACAAAACATTTATATACGTACTGTATAATGTGTAATACATAAAATATATATTCAAAGACTTCCATAAGAAGCTTTAAGAAAGATTCACAAAGAAGCTTGTGACTAAAGCGAAATATAAAAAAAAAAAAAAAAAAATTGGAGAAAGCTCTTTTAGGGGAACTCCAAAGAATGTGGACATACACAAAATGAAGCATGGAGGAGATGAAGACAAAATTTTTTCTCAACAACCATTAATCTTTCTCCTTTGTCAATTCAACTCCACTGTCTGTATATGGGACTATTATTTGTTTATATATTTTCATAGTTATTTAATGATTTCAAATTCATTAATTTTTTTTAAAAAAAAAGAAAATAACATATAGTTTTAAAAAAGATAAATAAGTTTTTATCTTTATGGATACGATGAAATCAAAAATTATGAATGGTTTAATAAGTAAGACTGTCGTTTTATCTAATCATTTAATCACATAATTTATATATCGTTTAAATTTCATTTTTTTTCGATTCAGCAGTAAATACGTAAAATAAACCATACATGTGTTCAAACTATAAACTAAATAAATAAAATACTATCATGTAGGTAAATTGTAAAAATAATTAACAACAACAGTAGATAATTTCCGATTCTGGCTCCATTAGCAAATCGTAATTAATTATGCATGTTTACTAAAATCGCACAAAATGCCACATTATTATTTATTTAAATTTTAGTTCTATGATAGAGAATAGGATGAGGGATCCTTATTCGATTTGACGCCCGAAAAGCTAAATTGTTAACTGCGCCTATGGGCGGTCCATGTGTTCCCTGGATTTTTATCCGGGAACTGAAATGTGGTAATAGTATCTACAAATATTTTAAATAAATCTAAAATCAATCCCAGGGCCCAGTCAGCCAATTTTGAAATTCCAACGCGGCGGCGATCCGCCTCAGATAGGCCGTTTTCAGTCAGTTTTGCATCGATCCCTGCGAAAAAATACGTTAAAGGGTCTTAGTTGGTCGAAAAAATACGAAAAACTGAAACTCACCGGTGGTGGGGCTCTCCGGTGCAGCGGCTCCTCCAGCTCATGTTGCGATTGGGTATTTTGCTTCGGTCAACCTGTAGAGAAAAAAATAATAATCACAACGGTGAAAGAATTATGCGAAACGGGAATCGGAAAGGGCATCGTCGGAGACGTTTTGTGAAATTTCATGCGGCAGCGTCATCGGGCTTTACCTGTGTTTTTTGGTCAATTGACGGTCTTTCCACTCTGATTTGGCCATGGGTGAGCTTAAAATTGAATTTCGTATAAAATAGAAAGTTTTTTTTCCTTTTTTAGCGGTCAGAAAGGGTTCTGGTGCAGCGGCGGATGGTGGCGATCGGCTCTCCGGCAACTGGGTTATCTTCTCTGGCGATGGATTCTAGCGGCTAGGGTTAGGGTTTAGTGCGGATGAGAGTTATTTATATCCATCCGCTTCCATCGCGTTTGATATGAACCATTCGATTGCGATTAAATAGGGAGTGACTATGGATCATCCATCGCGATTCACTTTGGACCATCCGATCGTATTTGAATCAGGCCGTTCGATCACGTTTGGGAGGGAGTGCATCCAGGCTATCTGTGCGCGCGGGAACTGACATCAATCGTTCGATCGCGGGCACGTAGATCGCTCACGTGACCCCCCGTGTGGCCTCCCGCATCAGTGTCTCTGCCACTTGGCGCGTCTTGGTTGGTCAGGGCTGCTGACCGGACGTCTGACGTGGCGAAACTTCTCAAATTACGTTTTGGCCTCTGTTTTTTTATTTTTTTTAAAAAAAATACTCACAGAACTCAAATTTTCACTCATTTTTTTTAAAATTATTTTCAATTAAATTCTCCATCAATTTATTTCATTTTTTTTACTCTAAATTAAATAAAACGAAAGAAAATAAAATAATAAAAATTATATTCATTAATTATTTAATTAAAACAGAAAATTTGTGGGTGTTAGAAGCCAACCCATAAAAATGTAATTAAATATTATTTGTGAAAATATATTTGAAAATTTTAGAGCTTAGAGCAAGAAGCCCATATAAGTAGGTAAATGGGCAATCCGCTGGATTACCCGGTGGAGCTGTGGGTCGGGTTTGAACCCGGATCTGATAGTGGATATAAAAAAGTAAAATGGGCTTTTGCTTCATACACGACATGACAAAAAGGGTCCTTTGTCGGCTCTGCCATATGTTTTACATGTAGACTTCGTATTCACCACCGACTCAACCTCCGTGGCTGGTGCCTCTTCTTTTTTATTGTTTTGGAAACATTCACACCAATTTGACTCTCTCTTTCTCTTGTTAACATTTAATTTTAACCTCATAAATTGCTCCATTTGGCTAATTGCTACCCCACCCGACACCCCACTTTTGCTCTTAATTAATTCTTATACATATACGTGTATATATATTCTTTTCCCATTACCCATTTAACAATTATGTTCATTTAATGAGAGAAGAAGCCAAAATAAAAATTTTGGTTACAAATACAATAGCTACCCAACCGACTCTTCTATGGCGGCGCCTAAGATTTGAAATAATCTTCACACACACCTACACAACTTGCCTACTGGATACATATATATGTATATATATGTAGTTGTCCAAGTTTAAGAAGATCGCTTAGGTTGCTAGATTTGCTTCCCAGGAAAGAAAAATAAAAAAGAATCAGCGACGTAAACTTCGTGGTTTCTGCAAAGGTGGCGAACCGGCGGAAGGTTGAAGATGATGCGTGGGCGTATGATGAATACGAGGCATTGATGATGAGTGGGCGTAGGGAGAGGGAAATGTCGGCCATGGTTTCTGCTCTGACCCACGTGGTGGCTGGAGAGATGCCCACTGTTAATGATGGGTTTGAAGATTGGTGGTCTTCGGGATCTGAGGTTCAGAACGGAGCAAGAAAAGAAGAAGAAGAAGAAGGAGAAGAAGAACACAGAGATGGTGGCCCATCTTATGTGATCCCACATGCAGTAGACTCATCTTCTTCCATACCAGGTATTTACTTGTCTGTTTAATTCAAATGTAAATTAATTAATTATACACGATCATAACGTAATTAATTTACATGAAATGTGAAGTTAGAGGAGATCAAAATCAGACGGTTGTAACGTACGAATACAGTAGCAGTAGCAGTAGCGGTAGAGAAGAAGGTAGAAGAAAATACAGAGGAGTGAGACAGAGGCCATGGGGGAAGTGGGCAGCGGAGATAAGAGATCCATTCAAGGCGACTCGAGTTTGGCTGGGAACTTTTGATACGGCGGAGGCCGCAGCCAGAGCCTACGATCAGGCCGCTCTCAGTTTCAGAGGAAGCAAAGCTAAACTCAACTTCCCGGAGAACGTCAAGCTACGATCCTCGCCTTCACCATCGCCGTCGCCGTCGGGGTTGGTTCCCATGTTCTCTGCACCCATGCAAAGCACCGGTGCACAGTTTCCGTCGCAGCCTCCATACCCTTCTTCTTCCTCTGGATGATTCCAGTTTAATTTGGAGATTTTTTTTTTTTTTTTGTTGATTTTTAAACTTAAAGAAGAAAGTATAATTTGGATGGTTCCAGCCACCGCCCCGCTTTGTCAGATGTGTATTACAAGTTCTCAACTAAATAATTTGAAAGTCAACAGTTTACGTTCTGGATTCGGTTGACCACTGTTCACTTATTGTTGATATTATTGTGTGATTGTCATCAATTTAATCTTGAAATTTTCATGCATAAGAGTAGGGTAAATAATTAATTAAGCTAAATAAATAATAATAATCAATCAATCAAGTAAACTTAATAGCAAACATATTACATTTTCATATCTTTTAATGCGATATATTTGATTAGTATCGACGTCCTTTTTTCATTTTGATAATCTCTACATGCATGGTATTGTGCCCGAATTATTTTATGGTGGAAGCCTTTAAGCCACTTTCTTTTGTAATCTCCAAATTAATTTGTATAGTTGAGACATTTGATGTAATAAAATATGGAGAAGATGAGTCCGCTAGTTATCATTTAAGTACTTTTTAATTGAGTAGAGTTTAGAGTAAACAAGTTATAAAGAGGGTAGATTTTGTTATGTGAAAGGATAATTTTATTTCATGCAATTTAATATAATATTAAAATAAAGATAAGAGACAACTTAACCTTATCATAAATTTAAGAGTTAAATGTAATTATTGTTCTAGAGTCAATTACTAATTAAATTTGCGATTTAAAAATTATTATACAAAACTTCAAATGAATAGTTTGAGTAATATGACAATTCGTGAGATTGTTGATAATAACCTATAATGTTGAGTTTGCAGCATTTGCAATTGCAACTTTTTTGGGTGTTATCTTAACACTTGAGATAAAAGTTATCGGTGAAAATATTATCGTAATGTAATACGAGAGTTATATAAAGAAGTAATATTCATTAAGGCATTCTAGTTTCCAAATTAATATATAAATAATGCACTCAATTATCTCATGTTGGAAATATTTTATCCTTTTAAACTTCCTCTCAATTGAACAATATGGTAGTAATATCTCCAAGTATATGAAACACTTAAGAATGTCTATTAGTATTTGAAACACCAAACAATGCCCTTAATATCCAAAAATATCTACGACTACTAACAACCAAAATCGTCTATAGGTACTTAGAATATTCAAAATTATCATAAATGCATATAATTATCTTTAAGTATATAGAATGCTTAAAAATAAACTCAAATGATCTAGAAATCCTAAATAATCTCTAAGTATTAAAAAATTTTAGAAGTACATTTGATATTTAAAAGACAAAAAAATGTCTAAACATTTAGAATATCTAATAATACATTACACTACGTGGAATGCACTCAAATGCGGGGATATTTTGGGCACTTAAGCACTACTAGACATTCATTTTCTTGGGTTTTCTCACATTATTTTTGGTATTTATGATCGGTTTTTGGCATCTACGCACTTGAATTTTTTTTATATTTTAAGTATTCAATACATTCAAGTTACTTAAAAAGTTTTGTGATTTTTCTTGGTACTAGTGAATATTTTTTCTATATTACATACTTGTTGATATTTATGCATTTTGAGAAATTAAAATTATGTTTAATTAATTCAAATACTCAGGATATTTTAGACATTCAAAATCAATTATGAGTTTTCGAATTATTTAAATATATTTTTAGGTATTCTAAGTATGTAAATATTTTTTTAGAAAATTTAAATAATTAAAAATATTTTTAACCATTTTGAAAATTTAGATAAATCTTTTAACATTATTAATAATTATTACCATTTTTTTTGAGTTTTTTTCAAATATTTTGAGATATTTTTGAGTATTTTAAACGATTATAAATTTTTTTAGATATTTTTATATTTTGAGTACTTTGTCAAATGCTTCAAACATTTTAGATCGTTGTTAAGAAGAGTATTTTTGAAAATTTTAATACTTGTAGTCATTTATGTATATTTTGAAATTCCAAAGTTATTGTTTTACATTGCTAATGTTTAAAATTGTTTCTTGACATTATTAGTACATGTAATATTTTAGGGCATTACAAGTAGTAACCACAGAAATTTTCAACTTTTGAGGAGTTGTGGGCAGAGGTTAGAATTTCTAAATGTTTCAATTATATGATAATAATTTTGAAAATTCCATGTACATTGAGTGAGACATTTCTTTAGTTGGAAACATTTCTTAGAGACATCACAACGCATGTAAACACCATGATTGTAAATTCTAATGTAATTATTGGTTCCATGAGTTAAATTGTAATTACATTTACTTCTAATATAATCATGATTAATTTATAAATTTTTGCTAGAAAACTTCTTTGAGTGATCAAATAACAGAATCAAAATTTATTTACAATTTTCTTATCCCACCAAATACGCTTGTAAGTAACTCTTCATATTGTATTATTTACATAGATTAGTAGTGTCTACTGTAGATAAAGAGGGTGGGGTTTGTGTAGATGAATAGGGTGGGAGTGGTGGAGTGGGGCAAAGCCAGAGTGGGGTTGAGTCTAGTGTCAATGGATTAGAAAGGACGTGTTTGGCTACGTTAAATTAGATTTTGCCTTATCTGTTTGGTCAACTATATGCCCATCTAGAATCTTGTAGATGATAGGATGTTACTTCACTGTTCCTAATGAATCTATTGCCGTGAGTCAATCGGGAAGCCTTCTAAACGCTTCAAAAAGTGGTTGCCTCCACCAACTGAGAAATTATACTTTTCTTATTCACTGTACACTATCATATAATTGTCAGTCTCTCTTTTGTAAATATATATTTCTTAATTATTAGAACACATTTTTTTCCTCTTACTAGATTTCAAAAAAATTCCTAAGATTAATTCCCTTGTTTAATCAACCATGACTATTTCCTTTGGATAGTCTCATTATTCTATACACTCCTTGTTTATGGTCTCTATTTACTTTTATGGTAAAAAAGATGCTCTTAATTGTATATATTTTTACTTAATTTTAGTCGGTTATTGCATAAAGATCTGAAAATAACAATTGGGTGATTATAGGAGGTTCCGACTTCTATTCACATTGAAGTAAAAAAATTATAAAATCAAAGTAAATTCGTGTAAATTAAAAGAAAATGTGATTCAAGTTTTTTCAATTAATTTCAGCTTGCAATTTTAAACAACTATGACTAGTCTAAATCAAGTTTCTAAAGAAATTATGTACTCAAAAGTGTATTATCCGGCCAAATGGGAAGATTTATTTTCCAAGGAAAAAATTTTAAGCAATCCAACCAATAAGAATAAAGCAAGCAAATTTAATTTCTTTCCACTGCTGTAAAACAAGCCCTTCTAGGTTCCCGCCATAGTCTGTGTTATATTCCAGTAGATCTTAATATCAGTTCTAGCAACCCCATTGAAATTATCTACCTCTCATCACTAATAAGATTAAGGAAATTCTATTTGGAAAAGAACCTGACAAACACATGCCTGAACATCTCAATAAGCAAATATTTGAATGATCCTGCTAATACTCATAGAAAGTTTCAACTTGAACGGAACCTGAAAAGATCAAAGAACAAAAGTACAGTCATCAAATGGACACTTGACTTCTGCCTTTGGCCCCCCTCTACAATAATATAATCATTGGACATGAGCAGTACGGAGAAGACCAGTGGGAAAGATGAGAGTTCAACCTGCCATTAGCGATGAAGGCATCCTTTCTCAAACTTTTAAAGCAGCTTTGTGGACCATGGTTTCCTTGTGTATTTGATGGCAACTCTTCTCAACAAGGTCAAGGAGTTTCTCCAAGTTCATTGACCACGAGTTGAGGATGTCATTGCTATCCTTAGCAACTTGGAAACAGACTATTCCCATTGGCCGATCAATCTTTGCAACCAGTGCTTTGGAGACAACCATATCCGAAAGATGTTTCTCAGTTTCCTGAATCATGGAAAGAATAAGAATTAACACTTTTCCTTGTAGCAGCACTGAACAGCAGGAACTAATAAATTTGTGCATCCTACCAAAAGTAAAATGAATGTTTGCTTGAAGAAAAGGAAAAAGATCCTGCACTACCAATGAGAGAAACTACCTTGACTGGACCAGTTAAACTAAGAGAATCCTGTCCCCCTCAAATAGGCTGGATTATTTACAGATTACAATACATGGAAACAAAGTGGTTAGGGTTTAACAAAGAACTAAAACAAAACCCAAGCTGATACACTTCAAAAGCTCAACGTTAGTAGAATGACCAAAAATAGCATCCAAAAACACCTCTTTCTCACTGGTCAAAGCATTCTTGGTGCACCCAGTAACCATTAAAACTTCCAATAACAAAATCCAAAATAGCAGTAGCCAACCTGGATGCTAAGGCACAGCAATTCAGCAAGTCTCTTCAAGGTAATCCTTGCGTAATACTTGGAAACAACAAGGATATTCTGGAAAAATTAATCATGTGAATGAATAATAGGATCACAAGTAGGGAGAAAAAAATTAAGGCACATGACTGGAAGCATTGTACATGTTCAATTATCCTTTGTCTCAGATCCTCTGCAGCTTTGTCAACCAAGGAGCCTCCAAGCATGTTCTTCTCATTCTCAAACTCATCTCTATATGCAGTCCAAAGTGATGTCCATTGGATGACCTCCATTGTCACCAACTGTTTCAACAGCAACCTACGACAGATAAGTAAGAAAAAATGATCAATTTCAAGTTAAAATGGAGCATCAACTCTGCAAGGACTAGAGCTGTTTCAAACAATAAGAAACACCTGAAATGTGGAATTTCGGAAAGATTCTTATCCTCCAAAGTTGAATTCAAAAGGCTCGACTGCATATGATCATGTGGTGACAACACTAAATACCAACAGATTTTTCTCAGAACCTGCACTCAGAATACACCTTATGAAATTAACCAAATAGCATATTAAGACATGCAGGGATATTAATCGAGGAATGAACTTTACTGGAATCCAGTGTGCGGGAGTTTCTTTCACAGATGGAATCCCATAAATTGCCTTATAGCATCGGCATATTTCAAGGTAATCGCTGTTATGAGAATAATACCTACAAAAATGACAATTTTAGTGAAATATCTGCTACCGATGTTATACAGTGCTACCCTTATACATATATACATATATATACACAGACACGTGCTTAATGAATAGCTCATAAAGAAGCTAATGGTAGAGAAAATTCTAATGGGTTAACAAGTACGAGATCAAGACAAATCATCAACAGAGTGTTCCATAGCTTACTTTTTTGTTAATAGAAGCTTATACACTCTCTAACAATGTTTAAAATTTTTTTTACGCATTTGGTAAAAAACAAGAGTTTATTAGACAGCTGACAAGTCTCGCAGAAGCATTTTTAGAAAGCTGCTGGCCTTTCAATTTTATATTACACAATCTATAAGCACTTGAAAACATTGTTGTTGACCAATGAAACCAAATTACCCTCTAAATTGTAAAAATCTAACCTATATCCTTTTAAAGACATCTCCTAGTCTCTTCTCTCTGTCATTCTTCCTACTCCACTATATGGAGCTCTCTCTCAATTCTAACACTTGGTTTGACAATCAAAAGTAAAGTTTGTTTTATCAAATTTTGTTTGTTTTCCAAGAATGGAAACATGGTCATTGTACCAGATACATTTAAAAAATTAATAATAATAATACTGCAGCTAAGGACATTAGAAATAATTACTAAATAATGACCAACTACAATTTTATAATTTCATACAGTCAAATAATATATATTTCAAATTATTATTAATATAATAATTAAGTATTACTAAATAATTATGTACTAATGTAAAAATAAAAATTAATCTAGAAATTAGCAAGTAATATCTCACTTTTACATTTCATTAATTTATTTAAAAAGTGTAGATGATTGAATTTCTCAAAGAAACTATATTCTGACTGTTGCATTATTGAAATCGTAAATCACAAGGAGGTTCATACAAATCACAAGGAGCTAATTACAATACCGTCCATTAATTTGAAAAAATTACAAGCAACTTTTGTGATTTAAATAACATTACAACTCAATCAAATAAACTAATTTCTTTTTCCATGGAGACATAATCTACTCCTTTAAAAGATAAAGCACAAAAATCCTGAAGAAATGAAGAATCTTGACCAAAATAAGGAGAAAGTTTGAAAGATCAAGCTTTTCTAATATCAATTCCCCCGAGCTCTCCCAAATTTTGGTTGAAATTTTTCAGTGTTTTCAAGATTTCGTGTTTTAATTTCCAAATGAATGTTTCATATGTTTTCTCTTGAGGGAAAAAAATTGAATTGAATTTTAATAGTGACTTCAACCTCTATTAGTCCATTGGACTGAGTAGCAATGTTTGGTTAAAACACAAGAACTAGGTTGTAATTTTTTTGAACTAATCCATTCAGTTGCAATTAGGCCGATAAAGAAGGAATTCCCATATAATCTACCCTTACTAAAAATAATGGCATCATATTTTATTTTGACAAAACTGAAAGCTTATAAGCTACATTTTTACCAAATACGCAAGTGAAACTAATGAAGCTTTTAACATCATATCACCCAAACATTACAACAACTTATTTTTTAAAAATATAAGCATACATTTGTTAGAGAGCTTGTAAGCTCTATGAAGTAAGGTGAATCAGACATCCCTATGCAAGCATGCTAAGACACTGAGAATGAGATGTTGGTATTTCGAAGGTACAAAACATAAAAGCTAACAGCCAATGCATTTAACCAGCCAGAACAACTACCATAATGTCATTGCAACTGCATTTTCAATACTCATTTTTGACGTTTTTCTTTTCCAAAATGTGTTTCCTAGCAAAGTTACAATTATCTTAGCTGCATTTCATGACTGATACTGATTGCAAACTTAAATCTTCCAATCCACCTTTACAGGACAAGACCAATTTCTTTAAAATCAGTAATTTATGAGCTCACTCTGCATTTTTTTTTGGAAAAGAATAATACAACTTAGTGGTTATCCAATCCAAAATCCAGGACATCCAAACCTGTGAACCAAAACATATCACTTCTCGCAAGGGTAACTAAAGATAAGCATGCCAACAATGTGATTCATCACATTAAACATTCAAAACAAACAAAAGACTGCAGTAACATCAGTCAAACAAGGAGGACAATCAAACTTCACTTCAGTTGCAACCTGCACCAAAGGATCAGAAAACTGCTTGCAATTGTTGTTTTAACAAATGAAGTAGCTAAAGAACTGAAACCGAAATGAGAAATGGAAATAACTATTCTATTAAAGAGGATCCAAGCAATGATTTTCCAAAAGGGAAAAAAAGAGAAGACAAATTAACAGCAACATCAAAACGGTGCCACCCATGTATAAAGAGCTTTGCAAATCAACCAAAATATGATGAGGTCCCCTAAATCTTCAGAGGAAATAAGAGGATGACTCTAAATAAAAAAAATAGAAGGTCTAGAACCATAAAGCCCTAACTCTACTAAAAGTAGACTCAGTGCCCTCAAATGCCCTTTTAATCCCCCACTTCCCAAATCACCCGGAAGATAGACAAGGAGATAAGTGATAAGAGCTTAGTTCTCTGAATCTAGAGAATAATCTCCAAGAGTAAAAGAACAAACAACTGCAGCTAAGAAACTACTGCTATATGCATTTCCAAATTCCTTCTACATAGTCATAAAAGTTTATAGGTGAAGACAAAAAAAGATTCTTTTCAGAAAGGAAATACAAAGGAGACAGAGAGTCAGAAATAAACCACCATACAGCCCAACTACAGAGAAAGAGTCAAGTAATATATAACCAGCAAGTAGAAAAAGACAATATACATTTTATTTATGGTTTAAAAATTGGAACATTTTTAGCATGATAAGGTAGATAAATAGACCAATCTACATATTTTGCTTTTATAAAGTAAAATAAATGTACATGCAATTTCCGAAAAGTACAGGTAGGTCTAAGATCAGATAAGATGTCAATTGTTTACAATATTGCAAGAGTAGTTCAAGAGACCTCTAAATTATACAGTTTGTGGTCCTCCACTACTTAACTATGCGAATCCCTGGAGAGGATGATGTGACAAACATGTCTAAACATTCAATTTTTACACCTAAAATAGCATTCCGAAGACCAAATTATAATTCAAAAAGTATCACAAAGAGACAGGAAATGAGACTGCATGCAGACAGAAAGTATAAAAGCATATATATAAAGGCATGTATATATGATTTTAATAATAATTATCAAGGAAAATTAACAAAAGATACCCATTATTCTTACATGCACCTCTTTTTACATCCTATAGTTTCAAAATTCACACAAGGAACTTTTCACCTTCAATTTTCACTCTCTGCAATTGCGCCTTTAATTAAGAGGGTGCCATTAATTTTAAGTCACATGCATCAAACATGATTTATGGGCATTGTCGTAACTTCATCCATCCCCATCAACTTTACTTTCGCACTTTCATCCCTCTTGCTGTCGCTAGATACAAAACCTAAATTTAGACCTAAACCTTTTCCTCTCATTTTTTACACCATTTGCTTTATTCTGCATACAGAAATTTTGAATGATATTATGACGTCCTAGACCAAATACTTTCTGAGTGCTGATAAGCTTGTTAGGATTAAATATTGCAACATCAACATAAATATGAGAAAGTAAGAAAATACAGCTGAGCAAAGGGTGCAAGACCATGAGTTCAAAATTAGAAGATCCTGTTTCCCCCCATGTTTTAGCGAAATAGTAAAAAGTAACTTGGTTTCTTTTATCGATCTATCAAACAGGAAAAGTCACAGGCTGCTATAACATGCATAGGCTCATGATGGCGAAAAAAAACATTAAAATGATGAAAAACCAACTAAAAAGTATGCACATATATAGAATGTCATGATCAAATAAAAGATCTTGGCACCACTGGTGAACCCTCCATGAGATTTGAAGTGAGTACAGAGCAAAAAAATCTTAGCAAGTACCGTATCATAAGCTCATAGTAAATCCGCTTTAACTCCAACAATGAGGGTATATCAGCAGGAGCCTCTTCAACAACATTGTCACCTTCTTTGGGTTTTTTCTTCTCTTTGGTAGTGTCAGCATCAAAAACTCTTGGACTGATCTTTCTTGACAGGATCTGCGCACGGACATAATCTTGGCGATCCAGGCATAATCGCACCTGCAAAGTTTAACTCTAATCAGAAAAAAAAAAAGACACTAGTAGCATCAAAAACATAATATACAATGTAACCTAGCTCCAATCTGTATGAAGTAAAGATAACCTCAATGATCACAGAGAAAGAAGTGCTTACTTGTTCAAGTATGAATGCAATTTTCTCAGTTTTTGCCATAGCACCAAATGTTTCAACCTGTAATTCAAATTCATTATAAGGCATGCCCTAGACAAACTAAATAATGTGCCATGGTATAGACATAAGCACTCACCGCAACTTCTTGCATCAGATCTGCAGCCTCAGCTATAAGGCCTTGTTCTTCCTTAATCTTAGCAAGTTTCTTGATCAACCGTGCTCTCTCAATTTCAACGTATATCTGCAATAAAGACAAGGGTTACTAAGACTCAGTATTAATATGGAAATAATCTAGTCAAATTAAGTCATGAAAGGCTATTCTCATATACTCACCTTGCCAGCAGACACATTGTTTAGTGTTTTGATAAGCTCTATCCGAGTTTCAATATCTGGAGTCTCATCAATGTATTGCATTGCTTGTTGGACCATCGCAGTTACAGCCTGTGTATAAATATTTAGCCCAATAACCAACAACATACACAGTTCATTTTTCTAAGTATACTGTTTGCATGATAACCATAAAATTTTAGATTCATCATACAGATAAATTTAATAAATTCTCAAGGCAATCTACCTAGAAATATGCAATAAAAAAAGAACCACAACAAAATGAATATAGCCAAGCAGTAAGCACAAGAAGCTTAAAATTGAAGCATACTCAGTCACAGTTAGATACATGCTTGGACAAACATAGGTGAAAGAAAGCAACAAACAAGTGTATCTGAATTTTAATATCATTCAAACAGAAAATAAAAAAGTATGAATCTTGTATCAGATACTAAAATAGAACTCTAAATAGTACAAAGACTGCATTTCTCTCTTGGGTGAATGAATTCATTTAACCCTAAGCCATAAGGTGCAGTGGAGCAATTGCCACAAAGGATCCAGGGTCAATACCATAAAGCAACAGACATCCAAATTCCAAGATGATAATTTTTAGTGTAGTGTATGTGCCAAAGTTTATTACCTAATGCCAGTTCTGACATTCCATATTAGCAGCTGTGATATCCCAATCACACATCAGAAAAATATGTGATTGTTAAGCTCCATATAAGCTTTCAAGTCATATGCTACTAGTAATTTGAGTTTTGGAGGACTATCTGAAAAGCTGTTGGTTAGTGGTGCTTGGGCTCAGAACATTATACAGACTATAGTTTTTGTTGCTGGCATCCTCTTTGCTTAGGTTATCTATCTGAACCGGGTTATTTTTCTTCTTAATTATTTCTCTAGTAACTCAAATCTGAAAACCAACTTTGCAATAAGTGAACTGATCTCATTATGATCTACATCAATTACCCTCTGCAGAATTGCATAAACATTTTTGGTTCCATATCCTTCTGCAGAAAAAGAGAACTCCAGTATGAATCCTTCCCTGTTTCTACCTCCTATCCTTGGTCTCTGGTCTAGTATTTAACAGTCTCCCAAGTTACATAGAAGTCCTAAGAAATGCAAACAGAAGACACTGATTACAGCTTGCTAAACAGCAAGGTTCAACATATGCTCTTTATAGCTTCCCAGAACTGCAATCAGTAAAGAAAAAATGATAACAAGGACAGGATTCCACAGCTTAAAACAGCCAAATAATTGAATCATCTTATTTATATCCAACTGCGGAATTCTATAAAATAGTATCACTTACAGAGAACACATCAAATTGCGTCTAGCTAAAACAACAAATAATCATTAAGGACATAATAAACTTCCGAAAGATAACACTCCTAGCGACGCCTCAAATTGAACCATAAAAACTCACCCACAGGACAAACAAACGCGATCTAGTAGTACTAGATCACTTCTATGAACAAATATTTGTATTCACTACATGCAGGTCATATAGCACAAATTCATACATGCATACTGCATTATCACCTGCTTAAGTTGGCCTCTTTTTTTCGACAGGTTAACAATCTGTTCATTCAGTAGTTTCCAGTCCTTAGCTTCAAAACAGAGCTGCAGAATTTCAGTGACTGCCTTCCTGGTGCCGGCCACATCACCGGCCAACCTCATCTGTTTCTCTACATTCAACAGCTTATCTATTTCCGTCTCCAAGTTTCCTCTATTTCCTTCCTGCATTTCCCCGTAATTACGTAAAAATCCCCAAAAAAGAAGTCATAAATTGATCGAAGACGAAGGTAGAGAAAACGAATCAGGAAATGAAGAAATTAAAAAACAAAGTGAATATATCTAGATCTGATAACAACGAGGTTATGGGAGCTCACCATTACGAATTGACGTGAAGCCTTAATAGAAAACGGACAATCCAAATAATTAATAAGTGAACTTGGAACCCTAGAACGAAGCAGAGAGACGGTGAGAGGAATATCTGGAGAAGTTTTGGGAATCAGCAAATTAAACCCCTTGGGCACGAAAAGGGCTCAGATGTTATGATTTTACGAATCCACCCCACAAGTTATATAATATTCTCTTTAGGAGATTTTTAGTACTTATCAAATGTTTAAAGGCTTAATTATAAAAGAGATTTTTATTGTTCATATTTTAAAGGATAAATTAGTATTTGGTCATGGAATTTGCATTCATAGTATAATTTAATTTCAAAAATGTTGTTAATTAAATTTAGTGCCCAAAATTTTAACTTGTTTAATGTTAAATAAAAAAAATAAAAAATATTTATATTTTGTTTGGATAAATTTTATGGTGATTTATTAATGTATGATATTATATGATAATGATATAATTATATAATATTTAAAAAAATTATATATTAATATATGATAATAATAAATATTTTTATTTGTATTGATAGAATGATATGATTGTATATTTAATTAAATTATTTTTATTTTATTATATATAATATTAAATATTAAAAAAATAAGAGAAAATACTTATTTAATTTATAATTTATTCGTTTAATTTTTAAAATTATTTAAATTACAATTTTTGATGATTTTGTTCTTAAAAAAAAATAAAAATAAATTACTATATAGAATTAAAATTTAATTTTTTGATAACGAATATAAAAAATTATTTTAAAACTTTAATTTTTATTTATGATTATAAATTTTAAAAAAATATAAAATTAACTATTACATAATATTTATTATTATCAAATGCCTTTTAATGTGAGATCCAAATCTCATTCCTAACAATTAGCATATAACATAAATTGAACGTGATAGCATGAAGATAATGATAATTTCTGTAACACCCAAATGTTATTATTTTTATTTTGTAATTATTTGAATTTTTTTATTATTTTTAATTAATTTGATTTAATTTAATTTTATGAAAAAAAAATAATGATAAAATTGGATAAAAAAATTATTTGAATTTAATTGAAATTGATTTTGAGAAAAAGGGGTGAAAATTTAGATTATTGGGGTGTTTTTGAAAAGAAAATCGGAAATCGAGGGTCAAAACGCAATTTAAAAAAGTGGCACCACGTCAGCGGCCCGGTCAGCAGCCTCGGCCAACCAGGACGCGTCGCGTGGCAAGGAAACGCTGACCAGGGGACGAGCCACGTGGGCGATCCGCGTGCGTGCGATCGGACGGCCCAGATCCGTTCCCGCGCGCACGGACAGCCCAGATCAAACGTGTGTACGGACAGTCCAGATTCACGCGCACGGACGGTCTAGATTCAATCAGGCACGGACGGCCCAGATTGCATCGCGATGGACGGCCCAGATTTAATCCCAATTAAATCGCGATCGAATGGTACAGATTTAATATTGATGGACGGTTGAGATTAAAAGGCAAAGGGTATAAATAATCCCACCCACACCTGACCACAAAAACCCTAGCCGCCAGTGCCTCGCCGGAGGAGCCGGCCGCCGCCACCCGCTGCCGCACCGGGGAAGTTTCCGACCGCCGATCGAGGTAAATTTTCTCCCCCTTGCTCGTTTTTCGATGCTGAGTCCGCCTATGGCCAAACCGGAGCCAAACCACCAATCAAACGGCCGAAAAATCCAGCCGAAGTCCAGCGGCGCCGCCGCGCCCCTCCTCGGTTTTTGCCTCCGTTCGATGCAAATTTTATACCACTGTGATCACCGTTCTTTTCTCTATAGGTTGATCGGAGCCAAACATCAAAACGCGACTCACGCCGGAGGAGCTGCCGCTCCCGAGAGCACCGCCGCCGGTAAATTTCAGTTTTTCGTGATTTTTTTGCCCACCGAGGGCTCTAGGGTTGTTTTATCGCAGGGACTGATGCAAGTGTGGCCGAATTCGGTCGAAAACGGCCAACCCAAGGCGAATCGCCGTCGCTTGCGGCAGCGCCGTCGCCGGAGCACGGCGGAGCCGCCGTGCCGGAATTGCGATATTGGCTGAAATGGGCCCTAGGTCTGATTTGAGATTTTTTGGGACACGTGCAGGTACCGGTAGTGTATTTCAGTTTTTTCGAAAAAAATTCATGGAAATTAAGAACAGTTTGTAGGCGCACTATAGAGCCGTATTCAGACCCCGAAACAAGTAAGGACCCCTCACCCTATTTCCTATCACGGTATTAAAGATAAATAAATAATTAAACTGTACTGTGTGACTTTACAGATGTATAATTGATTAAGGTTACTAATGGAGCCCGAGTCTGATACAGTGTTGGTCTGTTATTATTTGATTTAATTTTCAGTATTAAATACAGTATGATGTTTGATGTAATTATGTTATGGTCTCGTATGCATGAACTGTGTGGTTCCTTTTATTATGGTTTGTATTATGGTGAACCTGGTAATGTATTGTTTTATTTGATGTCAATTACTGGTTTACATGTTTTGTATGATTGAATGATTGAGATTAAGGAAAAAGGTAAAAAGGTTATGTGAATTGATAAGTGGATAATGTGGACAACCTGACTAGATATCTTGAGAGATGGTGGACGGACCGGGTCCGTAGGGAACCCTACCGGGAAGGTGGTCTTTCATACCGGACGGGTTATGGAGACCTTATGTGTTTTGGCGCCCATACCAGACGGGGTATGGGGACGGCTCTGGAATCAGGTTATAAATGTTAAGGGTTCACGGGTAGCGGGACCCCTATGGATCCCTGTGGATACTAGTAGGCTGGTTAAAGAGGAAAATATGTTGTTTAATGATTGAAATGCAAATGCATGATAAGTGTTATGTTATAAAGTTTATATGATTTCATGATAATGATAATGTTATTGCTTTCACATGTTGTTTTCATGGATCTCACCGAGGTAAGTGGACAGTAAAAGTTTTTATGTTAATAAACGAGTTTGTTATAAATTATGCGCCATTGATCATTTTTGTTTTCTACCCATCTTTACTTCTGTGGCAGTGAGATAGTGTGATGTCTTTACTGAGTTGGTGTAGCTCATTCCTTATTTAACCATTTCAGATCAGGAAGACATTGTTCCCGAACCCGTTCCGCAGGAAGACGGCGAAGGGGACGCCTAAAGACTCCATAGCTATATTTATACTTATTATCTCGAGTATCTCTTTTAGTTAGTTTGTTCTTTCATGTTTTGAGTACGTTTTGGTTATTGTGTAATGGATGTTAATCAAAATTTTTATTACGCTATCGCATTTGACATTTTTAATACATATATTTCATTTAAATTTTCAGGGCCGTTACAATTTCAGCAAAAATTAAGCATAAAGAAAGGATCTATTTAAGAATAACTTCGATGTGGCATAGATATAATAACTTGTTAGCATGAAAAGAGTAATAATCTCGTTGGAAATGAAGCACTAAGAAAAGATCTATCTAGTAAGATTACCAAAATTCAGCTTACAATTGACACAAAAACTCCATAACACCTCCCATCATTTTAAGATGTTAAAAGAATTACTATGATATCCCAGAATAAGCAAAAAATTCTTATTTATTTAGAATATGAGTTTTACAAAAAATTTAAAAATCGAAAAAAAAAACTTGTAAATGGCTATTAAACGAGACTAAATTATTTAGAAGACTAATTTTTTTTTAAAAAGACGTTCAAATTAAGGAAGTAGAACCTCTACACACTTCAGTATGAAGAAAGAATAATCCATCATTATGAATGAGGGAAAGAGTAATAAGAAGAAAATGAAATGGAATCCCATAATTAAAACGTTGTCTTCTTCTTTCACTTATTTTTAACTCATTATTAATATAAACGAAACTAAGTATTTTAGTTCTAAACATAAGAGTATTCATAAATCGAGTTCTTCTCTGCATCAAAACCTAAACCAGCTCTAAAATAAAAACTCTTATCCCTTTCCACCATTTCCACATAGCCAAACAACCTTAACAGCATACTTCAAAACCATTAAGAATTAGAGAGGAAGATGAACAAGACAGAATGAGATTGGCAATACCTGCGAGGTCAGTTAAGGGCGAGGCATGCAGAACGATCAACATATATAGAGCAAAGGGGTCTTATTCTCCTGCTCTCTGCGTCCTTTTTATTTATTTATTTATTTATTTATTTTAGTTATATATATATATGTAATTAAATAACATAAAAAGAAAAAGAGGAGAAAGGGAGGAGAGAGAGACATGATTGTGAAAGGAAGAGAGAGAGAGGCCGAACGACATTGACGACCGATTGCAGAGAGTCGCGTCATGTTGCATGACCCGACAACCGCACGAAGGGAAAAAATAGAGGGAATGAGATGCGACGGAAGAGGAAGTGAAAGAAAGAGAGGTCACGAGGAGAAGACGAAACCAACATTCTCACTCCTTTACTTCAGTGAAGATATTCAGATATTGAATTTGAATTCAGAGCATAAATAAAAATAACAAAATATGATGACGATATAAATGAAAGAAAAATATCTTATCATTAAAAACTACAAATTCGACGGTTTGCATAATTTGTCAAAATGATGATTTTGAATACCATGAAAACTCATCAATAAACCATACCATATGTTTGAAAATAGATCCAAATAAAACAAAATCATACATTAATTATCTATCATTCAAATACACTGTTAATGTTTTATTTTGACACCCCAAAAAATCAGTCATCGCTTATAATTTATTATCTTCACTGCTCACCTCAAAATTTGCTCAATATAACTTACTAAAGTAATTTCATGTTTTTTTTTTCTTTTCTAATTTTGTTTGGATTTGATTCAAGTTATTGAGAAAATAGGGACAGGTTGAGTTGGGTTTTGATTTGAGTTTCTAAAATGTTCGAACTCAATCTACTGTGTGTACATATGATATTCATTATTATAATTATAAATATTAATATATATAGTTATAATAATATTAATAAATATAATTGACATATGTTATAATAAATATATTTTAATTTTATTTGTTTAATTATTATTAACATAATAAAATGATCAAGTCAAATTGGAATACAATAACTTTCAAACTTAACATAATATAAAGATGAAAAATTATAAAAGGGAATTCGGATCCGGGTTTGCCATCCTAATATTTCCTCTTTACGGTTTCCTCTCCGTCTCAATCAAACACTGTATAGTTTTACTCTCTCACTCTTTTTATCCTTAATAACTATTTTCACATTGGGAACGACGCAAGATTATAAGACTTGTTCTAAAATATGATTTTAATTTTGAAGAATTATGAATCGCAATTGATTACTATTAAAAATAACATTAGAGATTAGGGATTTCCTCCTTCCAGAATAATATGATAAGCAGTTTAAACTATCCTATTTCACACCGTTGCTTCCGTTCCAGCGCCCTTCCATTGTCTGCTCCTCCACAGCTCCAGCCGTGCCCAACACGTCTGCTTGACTGCTTCAACTCTCCACCGGCAATAACGAGCAACCCGAGATATATGCATATTATTTCTCTTCTTTTGGACCTTGAAGTGTGATGAAGATTTTTATATTGTCTATTAATTTTCTACAGTTTTTTCCATTTTTTTTTTTTTTAGTTTTTTCAAATTGTGTGTATAATAAATTTATTTTGATTGACTGAATTTGGCGAGTCGAATAACATATAAATCTAACGCAACTAAAAAAAATTATAATTTTTTAAACTCGTTCGAGTTTGAATCTGTGTATATTATGAATAGGACGGATTCGGATTTGGTTAAATTTGCACCGATATCATTATATTTGTCATCTTCAATACCAAAGTGGTAGTTATATGAGCTAAAAACTCAGCCACATGTTGGTGAACTAAACATAAATAGTGCTTTAATATTGACGAGGGGAGCTCA